CCTAGGAAGGAAGCTGTTTTCTTCACAAGTAAAGATGATAAAAATAATATTGATTTAAGCTGTCTCTGAAATACTTGTATGCTGTAGTCTACATTTAATGACATATTGGCATGTTAGTAACTGCTAAGAAATAGTTTTATTATGCACTGTGTATTCAACCAAGCAACCATTCAATCCTATACAATACTACAGGCATGGGGAAGAGTGCCTAGAAAGCTGCCTAGCAGAAAAGGACTTGAATATGAGCCAGCAGTGTGCCCAGGTGGCCAAGAAGGCCAACAGCATCCTGGCTTGTATCAGGAGTAGTGTGGCCAGCAGGACTAGGAAAGTGATCGTCCCCCTGGTGAGGGGGACGATCACCTCCCACTGGTGAGGCCGCACCTCGAGTACTGTGTTCAGTTTTGAGCCCCTCACTACAAGAAGGACATTGAGCTGCTGGAGCTTGTCCAAAGAAGGGCAACAAAGCTGGTGAAAGGGTCTAGAGCACAAGTCCTATGAGGAGCAGCTGAGGGACCTGGGTGGAGAAAAGTAGGCTGAGGGGAGACTTTATCACTCTCTACAACAACCTGAAAGGAGGTTGTAGCCAGGTGGGTGTTGGTCTCTTCTCCCAAGTAACTAGCGAAAGGACAAGAGGAAACGGCCTCAAGTCATTCCAGGGGATGTTTAGATTGGAAAACTTAGGAAAAATTTCTTCACCAAAAGGGTTATCAAGCACTGGAACAGGCTGCCCAGGGAAGGGATTGAGTCACCATCCCCGGAGGTATTTAAAAGACATGTAGATGTGGTGCTTAGGGACATGGTTTAGTGGTGGACTTGGCAGTGCTAGGTTAATGGTTGGACTTGATGATCTTAAAGGTCTTGTCCAACCTAAATGATTCTGTGATTCTAAGAGAAGAGTTTCAAAGCTTTTCACTAAAATTTTCCAAAGAAATCCACTCAAACATTTTGAGTGGTCAACTGTATTAGTGTAACTATGGGAATTCACAAATGACTAAAAATACATACAATTAAATGTCAGTTAGTTTCAAATCAAGGTATTTCATAGAGTTTTATCTTAAAATATCACTGTACTACAGCAAAGTTTTTGATGATTTAGGAATGGATTGCAGACAGAGCTGAAAAGTTAAGTTTATCCTTCTGATATACTTATCAACATATATGGAGATCCTTGAGTCTTCCACTCTAATGAAAATTGGTGGAGACTGAAATGAATCAAGAGCTCATGGAACATAGTGTTGTGGAAGGAAAGAAAGTTTAATAAGACCTCAAATTACTAACAGGTGATATTTGTTTAGGCTTGTTTCTGTTGGATTTCAGTTATTAACTGTATTTTCTGTCTCTGAAAAATCTAATCCTGAATAAATGGTGGAAGTTTACCTTGTAATATATCACAACAAATATGACAAGTGTGGTGTGTTTAGTGTGATACTCTCTATAGAGTCTGATGGTGAAGTCCTTGCCCCACTGAAATAAATAGGCATTGTCCCTGTTGACTTCGGTGCAGATGTGATGTTTGTGAAAGAGAGCTGAAATGCTGAATATATTGAATGCCTCTGCTGCTACTGGTATGGTGATACGGTATCTAACCACTTACTTTAGTTTTGATGCATCTATCATCATGCTGAGTTGCAGGTGAGAGCTAAAGCATAGAGGCTGCTGTGCTTTGCAAACACATAGGTATGGCTATCTTTTCTTGTCTTCACTTTTTCCAGAACTTAGTGCCAATGCTCATCCAGCAACTCTTGTGAAATCAGGAGATTTTTGTTGAAAAAAACAACAAAAGATTGTGCCTGAAAGATTGCTGAATACTTCTGAATGTTTGCCCTACTGTGTTATATAGTCCATGTGGACTAAAAGGAGTAGGAGACACTCTGGTCAGTACTGCTGTGCATATGCTGAGTACTATTTTTTGGAACATAGCCTCAAAGTGGAAAGAAAAAAAAATTGGGTTAGACAGTGACCAAAAATGCTATCTTTTAAAATTGTGCTTAACTAGAAAATTCTCCCTCCTTTTCCTCTCTGGGAAGTGAAACCCCACAACCAAAGTCAAAGAACAAAACCCCAAAATTATTCTGTGTATTTAAAAATTTTCATTGGATTAGGGAGTGGATCTTACCCAGTCAGATTCCTAAGCATATGTCTAAACTAGTAGCTGGGAAGGCAGTTTGGTAATTTCAAATACACTGAGTTAGGAAATAGTTCAGTATTTTTATATCAGCTGCATCAGCTGTGGGAGAGAATATATCCAAATACTGTGGATCCTGATGGCTAAGACTCTTTCATGAAGAACGGAAATTTGAATCCTAAAAAAGGTTTTTGAAGCAAGATGTATCACATCTCAGGTGAGGTTCTTGACTACTCCTTACTGACAATTTATGCAGTCTTTCTGTGGTGTGTTTAAATGAGTTCCATATAATGTGTGTATATGTATATGTATATGTATTTGTGTGAGTACACTCTGGTGTATTTGTTCTAAACCAGTTCAGAAATGTGCATGAAATTAGGTCATCGGATGAGATTCTGTGATCCACAGAAGACAATTTGCATATAAAAGGGAAGGGAATTAGTAAAGCTTTACATCAACATTGTACCTGTGCGGTTCTGGGCTACTGCAGACATTGCAAGTCAACCCCACAGAAGTGGCACGGACAGTCAGAACTACAGAGATTTGTCCTCAGCTGCCACCATCCTGAGTCTTCTGCAGTGCCATGCCCTGAGGATTTCACCTCTTACCAAGGGAGCTGTGTGTTGGAAATGAAATACCGGTAGTTAAAAGTGTGCAAAATAAAATCCTCTGCCCGCAGTTCCCTGCCTTCGCTTCTTGGAGGAGTAATACTTCTCTTCATGGGACTATGGCTTTAAATTTCTGAAGCCCCATCTGTCACACGGTGGTGGAGACTGCTGTTTTGATTCCCTAGTGGGCATACCATCTTAGCAAATGTGCTTTGTCTTTCTTATATATTTATTTTCTTAATTTTGAATTATATCTTCTTGCAGTATACTGTGGAAGGGAAAGAACAAAATTCTTTACAGGAAATGAGAAGGGATAGAGTATTCCAAAGATGTGTGTTTCCGGATGAGGGAAGTGTAATGGGTGGTGTATCTGCCTTTTCCAAAAGAGTCATCTCAAATGCAGCCATCTGCAGAGAGTGTGCTCTCTGCTTTTCCTGTCAAGTGCCGTAAGACCTATGCAAGCATACCTAGAGACGTGGTGATGGGAACGCCCTGCTTGTACACTTTGGGTCTGGTGTGCCTCCAAGTGCACCTTCCAGCTATGCATGAACCTGTGCCTGCAGCTGTGCTCTTTTCAGACTTTCAGACTTCTGTTGTGAATGCAGCCTTGGACTGGATCTCAAAAGGCCTCGCAGATACCTTCAGTGAACGGCAGACACAAATCTGTGTAAGTGGTAACCTCTGAGCAGACAAAGTTGGGATTCATCTTTAGAAGATTTTGGCCTCTGAATGCTCTGAGATCCTTGGATGAAAGATGCTAAGGCAATGTGAAGTATTGCAACCAGGGATCAGATAATGGTTTACTCGCGTGCAATTTTGTTAATTCCTTTGTTTCATGCAAGGAAAATTCCTCCATGTGTCATCAAGCAATCTTAATTTAATGCGGTAATGACTTTGAGTGATAGAAGAACTCATCAACTCCAGCCGCCACTTCTCATCCTCTAGCTTAAGAATGATGAGCCTGTAGGTGCCTTTCTCCCCATCCCTCCTCGCACCACAGCTCCCAGGAACATGGACCCTCAAAACATAATCACAATGCTTGTATTCACACATCCAAAGGCCTCAGGTAGAGGTAGGAAACAGTGTAGTATTTGGGGTTTTTTTTTAATTCATGCAGGAAGGAATGAATCAGAGCAGGTTGTTTAGTAAGAAATACAACAAGCTCCAGATGTTTTTGTTTGGGTTAGGGCTTGAGTGACATTAACCCATAACAGCAAAACTTGGAAAGGATCTAGAAAAGTTGAATGATCTGACCTTTCCAAGCAGAGATCTCAAGAACTTAGGAATTACATCTGTGTAAGTTATTTTGTTCCCAAACATAAGCTTGTTTTATCCATTAGCATTAATATGTACCTACTTACACATCTTCCCACTCTGCCACATGCATGCATTCACACACACAAGCATGTCTTTCATACTTACATCTGCTTAAACTTTTTATATGGTCATTTGAGTATGTTAGAGTTTCTTTCAAAAAACTTGTCTCAGTCAGATGAGCAACAGTTTTATTTCAAGCCATCCTATGTTTTGGGGTTTTTTTAATCTTGAGAATCTTTTCATGTCTTCTTGGCATAGAAGAAAACGAAATGCATACTTGCAAATTCCATCACTGCTTACTGAGCATTTAGGAGCTACATTTCTGTAATTTATCCCCTGATGTAGTTAATGACAAAAGAATAGAAATTTGAAATACAAGCATGGAAGGCCTAAATAGCTTTTTCTGAGCAAAAGAAAACCAAACTGTGGCAAAATTTGCGTAAAATTGGCTGTGTGCATCCAAGTCAAAATTGAAAATCTCCTATCTGTGTTTTATATTTCCTCAATGATGTATGCTACAGTTTTTAAAAAGAAAAAAATACGTGGGGGGGGATTTTTTTATTTAACTGAATTAGTTGATTAAATGAGATTTTAGGAATACTGTCCAAAAGTTTCAATTCTGGTCTCAAATTTTAAATATATCCTAGCTGATATGAAGTGTATATATAGCTAAAAATGTAAAACTCCTGTATGTTTATTCTATGTGATCTTAAAGGTCTTTTCCAACCTAAATGATTCTTTGCTTCTATGTAACCTATCCTGTGTCTACATTAGACCTGTCCTGTACAGTGATTACTACACATAAGCCAGTGTAATTTTTTTTTTTTTTTTACTTGTTATACACTTTCTGAGAGTCTTTGTTATCTTCTTTTGCATTTGTTAAAGAGACAGAGGAACATGAGATGAATGTATGCTTTAACGAGAGACAGCAGTGTTAGCCCATAACAAAGATCTGCTGGTAAGTATATGGTTAGCAGCAGGCAAGGCGTTTTACACCACAGAGTTTGGAGGCTTTCACAGCAAATGAGTTGGATATTTTAATTTGCTGGCATATTCTCTCCTTGCCCCTCCAAGCTCTGTCAGTGGCTCAGGTCACTGTGAACAGTGGAAATACCAAAGCTGATGTGCTGGCTTCTGATGTGCCCTCACCAGTGCAGCCTACTGGAGGATGAGATGTTCTGATCACGGTGGCAATTTGACAATCTCTGAATATTATTTTTTGACAAATATTATAAGTGTTATAGAAATATTTTCATGCAATATTAACATTATTGTAACACCAGTATAGAAGCATAAATTACCAGATGAGTCAGAATTATGGCCCTTTTCCTGCTGTGTGTGGGCAGACCCCTGCATCTGTGCTCATTACAGGTTTGTGACCTAAATGCATTAGATGCGTACTGGAAGAAAATGAGTCTGCAAAGTATTTTAATCAAAGAAATACGTTGCTCTTGGTTGTGAAGAAAGTAAATCCTTTAAAGATGGAAATTTCCTCGTGCTTCACTTTTAAAAGACAAGTATGTTAACATGGAAATGTCTCTGGAAATTCTTGTAAGATTAATGACAAAACTTAAAAAAAAAAAAAAGTAAAGCAGCTCAAATCAATGTCTTGAAAGAAAAGAGAAGGTGTATTATCTTCAGCAGATTCCAGAAAGGATTTGTGTAAGTGAACTGTAGTGGTGGCCCAGTACTTCTGTAAAGTATCTTTATGGGCAATGTACTAATATCTAATACAGTGTTGTAATATTATTAACTCTTTGTGACAGCAGTTCTCCCAAAGTCATAAACTGTAATTTCATTGTCTGCCTCTTCTCAGGGGACTACTTAAAATACTCACTAACAGGGATCTCTCCTTTCATCTGACAGCTTTCCTCAAACAGAAGCTTGCAGGTTGTTGTGGAAGACATCCCGTTGCTTGGGATCCTGAGATTCATCTTTGTTTTTAAGCACTTCAAAGATTTCTGTGTGCAGCACTGCTTTATTTGGATTTTCTGCCTCTGTGAAAGTAGTATGTTCAGTGTCCATCATCTGGGTTGACTTTGTACACTAGACTGAGCAACAACAGTACATATTTTAGAAAAGCAAGTAGTTGTGCTTTTGCTCAGAAAAGTGGAAATTACAAGAGAAAAGCATCAAAGTCAGAAGAGGCAAATGAGGGAGTAGGAGGGAAATTTCATTTCTTGTAGCTGAAGGTGCTCAAGTGGACCCTGCCTGTACTTCTAGAGTGACCACTTTCTGGGTAGCAGGATTAGAAATTTCTTTTCCCCACTATAAATAAAAATCTGACGATTCCCAAGTTCCACTGAATTGCCTCATGCTCTTTCTTTTCCTCACACAATCACCTCGTGCTATTTCTTCTGCCCATCTCTGGGTCTCTCTGGGTGAAGGGAAGAATGGCTCCTCTGTTTCTTCCCCCTTCGCTGCTGCCTCCACGGAAGATTAAAAAATCCCACCTGTTGCTTTCCAAAACCACTGAAAATTCAGCCTTACTAATCCTGAGGGTCATCTGGACACTACAGTTTTCAAATTAATATTCAGAGCAGTTACAGGGACCCCTGCTTCTTCCTTTGTTTTTAGTAATCAATTTAGGAAAAATTGGTTAGCTGTGGTTGGTTGTGAGAATACAAATCAACTCCCTTTTTCTTTTCAGATTGCTTGAATCTAGGTTGTCCTCTGAGATGCCCAGACCTTGTGACATACTGATTTCATTCCCTTGAACCAATTTTCATCTAGTCAATTGAATTATTGTTTCATCTAACTCATTCCTTCCCTGAAAGTGTGATATTCATTGTGAGCTTTTTCTTGGCTTTGTAATAACTTTCAACTTGAGTAACAGAAAAAAGTAGTACTTGGAAAATATTTTGATAGTCTTACAATTCAAGGTATGTTGTCAGATCTCTCTAGCGACCACACACAATATAAGAGCAACATATATAATTAACTTGGCACAGGTGAGGGGAGGGATTGGGAAATTGTCTCCATTACCTCCCTTCTTCAGCTTTGAAATCTCATGCTCTTGCATGATATGCTCGGGAAATTACAGACTGTGAGTAGGATTCATATGGCAAAATGTAGACGTCTACATCTGAGTTAGTCACCCAAGGCTCCCTGTGTGGGGAATGGAGAGATGAAACAGGACAGATGAATCACACCCTTGAAGAACCTATTTTTTTTTACCTTTATGCTAAGATGAAATGACTCATAGCCTGAAAGTGCCCATTTGGCTAGTAAGGGAGGCTGGGGTAACAACTGTGATGCGATGGCTGCATTCTGCACCCCAAAAACTAGATGAGATGAACATGGTGCTTTGTGGCTCCGGTGCGTGCCTGTGTGCTTGCGTGTATGTGTTTATTTGTTGTACTGTGCGAGCGTTGAGTTCCTAGGAAAATAAAATCGATGTTTTCCACATAGAAATTCCTTGAAAAACTAAAGACAACTTTAGGTTTCCATGTGTGATAACTCAGAAATTAAGAAATACATAAGCTCAATTAGCATGTTTCTCCTGCATGTGTGTTTCTAAATATGTGTCAGCAAATTAAAACAAATCCCTAATATGTAAGTTTTCAAAACTTGGGAGTCATGTGAATTTAGTAGCTGAGAGGTAGCTTAAATGATGCCGCTTTTTGTTTAGTCACCTTTGGAAACTGTATGTCCTCTGCAGTTAGGGAGACATGCAGGTGCTCTCCAGATAGCGTAGGGAGCTGCGAGCTCTTTGTGCTACACCAGAGGTAGTCTCTTCTCTCTGTGTGTAAAACACATAATATGTCTCCCTCAAATTCTGCAGTAAGTGAATATATGAAGACCTTGCATCACTACTTGCATAAAGGGAATCTGTCTTCCCGTGTTTGCTTCTTCAGTACGTCGTCGGCAAGAGCGTGCGGGGCGTGAGCCAGGGTGGGCTCGTAGGAGCAAGTTGTGTCCACAGTGGTGCTAGTGCCACTAAACATCTCTGTGGGGTCCCCTCAGCTGAAAACGCCAGTGAGATACATACCATCTTCCCACAAAGAAGTGAACAGTATTAAAATAGAGGTGGCCAGTGAATCAAGACAAATAACAGTAGCCCTGTAACATTGCATATCCAGTTTCTTTTAATCTTCTCTTTTGTCTATGCCCTGGCATGCAGGGTTTATTGAAATAAATTAAACTAAGGAACTTCTATTTGAGCTTAAAAAGGAGGAATAAAGTTGTTTGGCTTAGACCTGTAGTTAGAGTATGTCCACAAAGATGGCTTTTGGTAGAAACTGAGCTTATGCAGCCCATAACTCTAGGCACCTGGCCTGAGGAGCATGATCCAGCAAGTAGATTGCAGCTCACCAGTTTCCTATGTCATGAGTGTACGTAGACACCCTGAAAGGGGTAACATGATATGAGGGTCAAAGCTCCTTCTGCTTTGGAGCTCAGAGCTGCAAACTAGAACCTACTCAAGATCCAGACCCTGAAGATATATTCTGGGTAGCTGTGTAAATCACAGCTGATTTTTATGCATGAATGAAGCCATGGTGTAACAGAAGCAAGACATCTGGATTTTTCTCTGTCAGATTCACAGATCACAGATCCTAATTCCCTGAAAGTCTTTCCCTGCCAGGTCACACTAGGTTTAGGAGGCACGTTGCCTTGTTGGTCCTTTTGAAACCAGGAAGTTTTGAAGCCATATGTGCAAGATTCAAGTCAGTGCAAAATAAGTAGGATATGGCTTGACTGTAGGCTGACAGTGACACACAACGTTGGACACCCACTGGATTCAACACCCTCCAGACAAAACCAACATTCCTGTCCTCTCCCTGGCAAAAAAGAAGAAGAAGAAAGAAGCCCACAGAAAAGAGCAATGGCTGTGTCATGAAACCATTATGAAATGTAAGTTTGAGGTACCCAATGTACCTTTCCGAATCGAGCAACAGAGTTCAGTTAAAGTGATGCCTCCACTGGCTTTTGATCTGCCTAGAGCACTTCAAAACTATGCTGTAGGTTGAATTAGTGAAACAGTGGAGGTAGCAGAGGGCTGCCTACAGTGCTGAATTTCTCCCAACTGGTAGTGTTTTGTCAGCACTGGTCAATGCTTTGTGCGCAAAGTGATTTCAGCAGAATCATCACCAGTGGGCAAGCACGCTCTTTTTTGCTTTTTACCTTACCTTTCAGCCAAAGGCAGGCAGATCTACAACAGCAGCTTTACGTGGAAGCTGCCTTGGAGAGGCGTGTGCTGGCTTGCAGAGTCAAATGTCTCAAGCTGATGAGTCGACATCTGCCTATGAGAGCATTTCACCTGTAAAGCCAGTGTACCTCTTCCAGGTGAGAACCGGTATGCTAAATGTCAAGTGGTCAGTGTGGATGCTGCCTGCTTCTGTCTGTGCTAGTTTGAGGAAAGACTTTTTTGTATGCTGTACTGACAATGGTCTTCCTAGATTAGCTGCCACTGTGTAGCAGTTGGATTACTTGCTGGTCCATCAAATCTGTATTTGAAGGAAAACCATATGTATGTGTATACATGCACATATACACAAATAAATTTAATTTTTGTTATGAAAGATACTTGTCAAATAATGATTCCTGGATAAAATTCTTACTTTTATATATTAGTGGGTCATAATTTGGATTATAGCTACTTCAGAATACTGTTTTTATGGGATAAAATGGCTCTTAGTAGCAACTTCCCTTATAATTCAGGTGTCATGATGGTACTAAATAATTCAGATAACTGATAAAAATATCTCCTCATGATTTTATGTGTGTTTGCACTTCAAAGGACCAGCAATGAAAAGATGATCGTACATCTGAATCAGAAGGATGATATTTGTATCTAAATTGAGTAACCATGTAATTTTACCATGTTTCCCATGCTCTGTCTGCCTTCCTCCTCTTGCATGCTATGCCCTGATTCAGATCTTCTGTGCAGTGTTTATTACCTGACCTGAAAAGCTCAATCTAAATATTTGGTGAGTTCAGTGATGTACCCAGTGTACTTATGGCTGCACATGTACTTATGGATGAGTAAAATATAAGAGGCTGGCCATTCAATAGCTCTGTAACTTTGATTTTTGATATTCACAGGATGCTTTTAGAAACTGGTTAAAAATTACATTTTCCAGTATTCAGCTGCAGAGGAGGACTTGGTATTTTCAGATGTGTTAGGAGAAGTGATGCTTTTTGTATGCATACATGTAGCTATTCAAATCTCTGCAAAAGGGTTCCTCAGTCACAAGGCCTCCAGATGCCAGCTAGAAGAAGTCAATCCTCAGATCTAGCTGATAATTAGATATTAAAAATTCCAGGCTGAATTTATTTCCTAACCAATGTATATGCATTGCCTACTGTTCAGCTCTTTTCCTCTGTACTTCTTACACTGAAATAGCTAAAGATAGTGTTACGTTCTTGTAAGGTTGTTTGGATGACGCAGTGAAATCTTTGCTCAGGCAGGCTCCATTCCCAGGTCATCCTGGTGGCCTTTTTCTCCAGCAGAGTATTCCAGGATGTTTTTCTCTCTCCCCTCTTCCTACAAACAGAGAGAGAGGAAGGCTGGCCAGAGCCATAATTTCTTCTTAAAATTAAAGAATTTTCAGTGGGCAGCTGAGCTAGACTGAAATAGTTGCTGCAGTTGAGGAGGGTCTCTGGGAGGTAGGAAAGTTCATTCCTCTTACACTTTTCTTCTGGTCATTCCAGTGGTGCCTTTCATTTCTCTTCATTCCAGATTTATATTTTTCCCTTTACACATTTACCTGATATAATTTTAATACATTACATTTTTAAGTCCATAAATCCTTGCATTCTTAAGGACTGACCAAAAGTAATTGTTGCTAATTACTAATTGTTACTCGTTATTGGCATGTGGAACCTAACAAAGTGAGGGGAACCTTCCTGTACCACTTTTACAGTAAAACATCACAGGCACTGTTTCCCACTCTCTCATTAATTAATTTCTTGTCTTTGTTTAATATACCTTGCATTAATGAGGGTTTAGAAGGCCTTTAGGTGGAACTTTAATATGTACGTAATTAAAATACATACAGCATATGAATTAAGGTATACAACAATATATACATTACAATATATATTATATAAGGTATACAATATATGCAACGTTGCCAAAATGCTTTAACAAGAGGTCCAATATAGTTTTGTAGGGTGTCGTGGTTTGACCCCAGCCGGCAACTAAGCCCCATACAGCTGCTTGGTCACTCTCCCCTGGTGGGATGGGGGAGAGAATCAGAAGGGTAAAAGTGAGAAAGCTCATGGGTTGAGATGAAGACAGTTTCACAGGTAAAGCAAAAGCCAAATGCACAAGTAAAGCAAGACAAGGGATTCATTCACCACTTCGCATGGGCAGGCAGGTGTTCAGCCATCTCCAGGAATGCAGGGATCCATCATGCGTAACCGTTACTTGGGAAGACTAATGCCATTACTCTGAATGTCCTCCCCTTCCCTCTTCTTCCCCCATCTTTATATGCTGAGCATGATGTCATATGGTGTGGGATATCCCTTTGGTCAGTTGGGGTCAGCTGTCCCGGCTGTGTCCCCTCCCAGCTCCTTGTGCACCCCCAGCCTCCTCGCTGGTGGGGTGGGGTGAGAAGAATCAAAGGCCTTGGCTCTGTGTAAGCACTGCTCAGCAGTAACGAAAACATCCCTGTGTTATCAACACTGTTTTCAGCACAAATCCAAAACACAGCCCCATACTAGCTACTTTGAAGAAAATTAACTCTATCCCAGCCAAAACCAGCAGATGGGCTATCCTTGGCTGCCTGTTTCTATAACAGTGTTAGAAAAAATGCACATTTTAAGCTGGGTATATCATGAGGCTTTCACTGGGCTGTCCACAGCTTTTCTCATAAAGTTAAGAAATACACTATATTTACCATATTTTGGGATTGTAGTTCTTGTTCACAGCCATGTTGTGATGAACGAGCAGACTTGGGCCGGTTGGTCTCTTTCCTCACTTGTTTCCAGGTAATGAACTTGTAGCTTTTAATAGATGTTATCAATCTGTAGCTGCCTGACATTACATTTTGTACTACTGAGTGTAATCTTATTGTGTTAGTCAAGATCATTTGACTTTGTGTACAATTCAATCTTTCTCTTAATTGACCTTGCCTCCTGAATTTGTATCGCAAGAAAAATTCTTCATCACAATTACACTTCTTGTGCAAAGACAGTTGAGATAAATGATAAATACTGGCAATCCTAATCCCAGTTCTGTGAAACTTGATTAGTCATCCTCCTTTTGACTGGTAGTACCCCTCTCAGATAAATGTTTTCCTGCCTTTTCTTCAGCTTGGCTGCTGAAGAAACCTTCTCCAGTTTAACCCGTGATTTCCCATTTGACTCTATATCAAATGCTTTTTTGAGATTTAGATCAACTATGGCTCCCTCTGTTTAGAAAGAACATTCAACTCATCAAAGAAGGCTCTTGCCACTGGTTTGGTGTGGCCCGTATTTTCTTAAATTCTTTTTTCTTCTCAATTTTCTTAAATTTACCTCTGTCTTTGATAGTCATTTCCTTCAAAAGCATACTTCCGAGGTCTGGCTGAAGCCATGTGTACTGTGTAGATCAGAGTAAAACATTGCATGCCCAGGCTAATGAGTGCTTTAATCACCCCTCTGAAAATGGTTACGAGTTTTGCTCTTCCTTGTTATGCGACTGTCCCCCGGTGGGCCTGCAGTTATACCTGGGACTTTATATGCCAGCTCTTTTGACACACGGACCAATATTGAGTCATTCTTTCCTTCTGCTCTCCCATCTGTCGGTGTCTGTGTGTTGTGGCGTGCCCTGAACTTGGATAATCAGCTGTCAGGGGCTGTGCTTTTGTGACTGCACAAGACCTAGAGCACCCAGCATCCGGGGCATCCACAGCTCTGGCTAAAGTGGTATGGTCAATAAGATTTGTCACATTTTGACTTTCTTGGTTTTTTGGCTTCTGGTTGGAGAGCTATTACTTCCTTTAGTAGCTCCTTCTAAAGCTGGCAGAAGTTTGTCTTGTGTGTTTGATGTCATCTATCTGTCTTAGGAGATGAATGTATGGAGTTGTGCTCTTTCTCCTTTCAAGCACTCATTGTCTTTGAGCTCCACAAACAGAGGAAGGGGATAACCTTCAATATCCAGAAGCTTCATGGTCTTCCCTTGAGTAAGTTTGTTCTGGATGAAAGAAAAAACACTTATTCCAGGGGTGGTAACAAAAGGTACATCAGCGCGAATAAACTGTACTGAAGAAGTTTTTTCCCATGTTCCCTGAAACACACATTCTCTGCACAACAAATGAGACTCGTACAAAATCTGAATGCTTTTGAAAGTGCAGAGTCAGCAAGGAGGTCTGTCCCATAGTCATACAGATTCACTAGCCAGGAAGTTCCCTTAATCATTTTGTAAACCTGTATTTGAGAATGTGCCAGTCTCTGCCAACTGCGACTTTTTTAGATGGTGGTTTTTGCTGAATTCTGCACAGCCAATAGCACTCATCTCAGTATAGAAAATCTGGTAAGTGGGAGTTAGGTGTAAGGACAAAATGTGTGTTTACTTAAAATTAGAAGACGCATAGTGTTAAAAAGTTTTGTAATGTCTTAACCTAACTGTGCATCTCTTTATCAGCTCAGTGTTTGAAACTCCTGTGCCATACTAGTATGTCATTAATCAGTGAGTTGAAAACCACTGGTTTAGAATTTAAAATAAGTTAAAGCAGGACGTAAGTTAGGATGAATCATCTTTGCTCATCTTTTTAAGTGTAACTGTCATTTACCTACTGTAAATGCAATTCAGTATCATGGTTACATTGTATGTTACCTGATTTTCCTGTTTACCATTAGCTGTTTTAAATATGATGTTACTGTGTTTGTTCTCAGTCAAAACATGCCTCGGTTTTTAGCATGATAGGTTTAATCTTCATGTGGTTAATTTCACCACATACTTGCAACATCTATTCAAGATAATTGGTTTTAATGTTTCTTCACATTCCTTTAGAACTTTCCAGACGAGAATATCATAGTTGTTCATCAGTATTGAAAAAATTGTGCCTATTAAGTGTGGTGGTCTTGATTTTAAAAACCGCCATTGAAATATAACAGTTGTTAGATGAAACACCTTAGAGGATTTTCAAGGTGGGCACTGTTTGGAAACCTGTTCCTTTTTAAAAGACTGTAATTGAGTACCCCGATTCCTTAGTTACATTAAAAGAAAAAATTATAAATAAGCCTATCCATTTTGCTTCACTACTGGGAAATAGGATTAAATAGATAATAATTTTGGCCTGTGATTCAAATAACAATAAAATCCAAATATTTACTAACACTGAAATGACAAATCTACT